TCAGCACTGACCCTCCGACAGTGCGGCGCTCCGTCAGCACTGACCCTCCGACAGTGCGGCGCTCCCTCAGTACTGACCCTCCAATTGACAGGTTGCTGGATGTTCAGGGAAAATGGCCCTTACCGTATTAGATGTTGGACCAGTGTTAAGGGGCCCGAGTGACTTGTCTCTCCTGCTGGGTTCCCGTCTCGGCATCTTAACAACGTTAAATGATCCCTTCATGTAGTGCATAGCAACACCCCAGAAACAGCAATCTCACTGAAGTTACAACAATGATTTTGTTACACAAATCTCTTAGGCGCTATTAAAATGCAACGTTTGTATTGCCTCGGTTTGTGGGGTAGCCTCAGAGTAGTCTGTGTGTTTCCTATAGGCCTTCTGCTGGGAGACACAGCTAAGTTTGGTGATTGGCTCTGTCGCTGACAGTACCTTTGACTGTGCACTGTGTCTTTCTCTTTCAAGGGGAGGTGATGGCCTAGTGATATTACCACTGGACTATTAATCCAGAGACCCAGGTAATGTTCTGGAGACCTGGGTTCAAATCCCACCTTGGCAGATGGTGGAATTTGAATTAATGGTGACCATGAATTCATTATTGATTGATGCTAAAACCCATCTGGTTCACTAATGTCCTTCAGGGAAGGAAACTGCCATCTTTACCTGGTCTGGCCTACATGTGACCCCAGACCCACATCAATGTGGTTCACTCTGAACTGCCCTCTGGGCAATTAGGGATGGGCAGTAAATGCTGCCTGGACAGCGACGTCCTCATCCCGTGAATGAATAAAGTCCAGGAATCAGACAGCCCATTGACACCAAATGCCTCCCTGCCCCAACTTCACTGTTATCACATTTGACAGGCTGGCCTCAGATCTTCATCAGACGTGACTGAGAAGTACTTCATAACCACGTGGTGAGCTGGAGCCAAGCCCTGTCCCCCTTTTCTCTTTGGTCTGTTGTTTCTCGGCTCTGTCCCTGTCTTACCTCCCGTCTCTCTCTGTTCCAGTTGACCTGGTGTGCTCGACTCTGCCTCTGACGTACGTGGAGAAAATCCTTCAGTTTGTGGCCTCAGCTCTGGAAACCTCACGGCACCTGGAGTTCTTCCTGACCTGGGCCCAGCGTTTACTCACTCTCCATGGACAGAAACTGAAGGCCAGGTGAGAGCCAAGCTGCCTGGTATCTGGGGAGAGAGAGGCTTCATGTTGGACAGGAGGCACATCCTGTCAACTTTACCCACACAGGGTGACAGCGACGCTTCCAGGCAAGAAAAGGCCGTTACACAAAAAGCAGTTGAATAGCTTGGGCTTGTACTTAGTGGAGTTTTGAAGAATGAGGGGGGGATCTGATTGAGGGATATAAAATGCTCAAGGGGATTGATAAGGTGGGGACCCTCAACAGTTTCTCCCTCTTGTGGGACACACTTGAACAACCTGCCATAGATAAATAGTGAGAGGTGGTAGGTTCAGATTAAGGTGAGGAGAAACTACTTCTCTCAGAGGGTTGTGAATCTGTGGGACTCGCTTCTCCAGAGTGTAGTGGAGGCAGAATCAATCAACAGATTCAAGACAGATATGTTTCTGATCATAAAGGACAATGGGGAGCAGACAGGAGAGTGGAGTTGAGACCAGGATAAGATCAGCCATAATCATGTTAAATGTCAGATTGGGTTCAGAGGGCTGGATTGCCCCCTCCCACTCTAATTCCTACGTTCCTATGACACCTCAAAAATTCCTTTAGATGAAGCTGCACAGCCAGGTAACCCGGTCTGTGCTCGGTCTCGCCAATCGAAAGGAGACCAACCACAGTGTGAGCTGTGAATATGGTGGACTGTTTTGTTAGAACTACAAGTAAATCACTGCTTCACCTGGAACCATCTTGTTCTTGTGCTCCTCCCCTTTCTGCGCTAGACCCTGCTGCAGTGTCCCAGCCTACACCCTGACCTGCACATGCCCCTACGCCCAGCCCCATGGAGTTGTTGGTTGGTTCGCTGAGCTGACTGGTTTGTGTGTAAACGTTTCGTCTCCCTTCTAGGTGACATCGTCAGTGCTGTGTAGCCTTTGTTGAAGGCTTCGACAGAAGCTACACAGCACTGATGATGTCACTTAGAAGGGAAATGAAACGTTTGCATGAAAGCCAGTCAGCTCGGCGAACCTGCAATAGGGTTAGGGTTAGGGTTAGGGTCAACTGCAACCTGAGCTACAGATCTTTGTTAAAACATTAAACCCATCCCCATGGGCCAGTGCCCAGTGTTAGATTGTACCAGTTGGGTATCATTGCTTGTAGAATGCTCTCAGACATGTATTCAGGGTAAATTCTCAATTGCAGTATTGTTGATTTTACAGTTTCTGAAGTTGTGCTTTCTCAGTGAAGGTTAATTTGTTGGAGTTTTTTTCCACAGGTCAGTGGTTTTACTGCCAATGATCCAGGCTTTACAGAGGAGCATCCGACATCACTTTGACACAGTGTCCAAACTGTAAGTCAATGGGGCCAGACATTCTTCATTGTTCTGCACAGATACACCCAAAGCTGCACTGTCTGATATCCCAGAGAGTCTGCTTTAACTCACCCAGTTTTTAGAATGGCAGAATGGTTACAGTCTTTCAACCATCATGTCTACAGCAACAACAACTCCCCTTTCCTTCCCCTGAAATCTGACACATTCTTCCATTTCAGATAATAATCCATTATCTATTTAAAATCTTCGATTCACTCTGCCTCCCCCCCCCCCACTCTCAGACAGTACGTTCCAGACCCAACCCCCTCGAGGGAACCGCCCTCCCCCACACTCTCAGACAGTACGTTCCAGACCCTAACCCCTCGAGTGAACCTGCCTCCCCCCACACTCTCAGACAGTACGTTCCAGACCGTAACCACTTGCTGGGTCAAATTGATTTCCGCTATGTCTCTGCATCAGTTGTTAATTATTTCAATTTGGTGTCCCCTATTCTTGATACTCCCAACTTGGGGAGCAGTATCTTGCAGGTGTAGACGAACAGGTTTATAAACTGGGCTAATATTTGTGGGGTGCGTATTGGGTGTGGGCGCTGGACTGGTGAGGAAGGAAGGGCAGGCACTCTGTGCGGCCACTGATTTCAGGCTGACACTGACTTTGGTGTTGATTTGTTTTCCTGACACTGGGTCTTTGGTTTTGTGTACTCAAGGTGTGACTGGAATCGCTACAACATGCGGTACGCACTCGCCCTGTCCCAGCAGAGAGGAATGAAACGCCCAACAGAATTGGCAGAGAGTGATGAAGACAGTGGCTCTGAGGGGGACATTGAGCAACTGATGGATGCGAGTGACTAAGCTGGGAACTCCCAGAATGGTGTCTGTTGATTTAAAACAATCTCTGGTTGTTCTCCAGCGACATCTGTGGGTACATCACAATCTCAAACTGGCAGCTACAACAAGAGCACAGTCATTAGGTGCCACTTGTAACATGGCAATGAGGCAACAACACATGGGCTATACACTGTGGGGTATTGTAAATGTCGAGTGGTTATGTTATGGAGTGGTTTCACTCCAGGTGCAGTGTAAACGTATTCACAGTGAATGGAAATAGTTCTTTCTGATGGGCTGACTGGTGGGGAAATATAGAAAGACTCATGCAGTAAGTCTCCAAAGTGGGAACTGTCCCTTCTCCAAAACTTTGACTTTTTGAATGTGGAAGGAAATGAACCAAGAATGCCTCACATGTTCGATGCTCTGTTTGACTAAGACTGCTTCCTCCCAATGTAAATGATGTATAATAAATGTTTAATAAAAATGTGGGTGTTTGTATCAATCACATTGTGAAATATTGAAGCTATGTGAACAGCCAGTTTTCTGGTGCAGTTTCTTAGAAGCTAGTTCGAGGACGTGCTATTTTAGATCTTGTATTGTGTAAAGAAAAAGAGCTGATAAACAATCTTGTTGTGAAAGAGCCTTCAGGTGTTGAGGGACCATGATCTGAGAGGATTTCACATTATATTTAAAAGTAAAAGGGTGTTAAGCTGGTATAAGGGAAGTTGTGAAAACATGAGGCGCAAAGTAGCTGAGATTTATTGGGAAAAGAAATGATTGTGCAGAGGCAATAGATAGTCTTAAAGGTCATACTACGTACCTTACAGCAACTAATACACACCTTCAAGGTAGAAAATGCAAGAAATCAGTTAATCGTGGTTGACAAAGGAAGTTCAAGATTGTAGAAGATTAAAAGAATGTGTTTACTCAGTGGCCAGAAATACTAATAAATCCGAGGATTGGGAAATTTTTTCAGAATACAGCAAAGAAGGACCAAGAAATAGGCTGAGTCAGGAGATTTTAAAATGGGGGAATAGAGGGATAGCAGAGATGCTAAATTATTACTGTGGCTGTTTTAACTGAGGAAGATACCAGAAATCTCCCAAAAGTACGAGATCTGAGAAGGTAAAGGAAATTGACATTAATAAGAAGATTGTACTGATTAATTAGTAGGTCTGAAATTTGATAAATTTCCAGGACCCAGATTGTCTACATTCCCGGAAAGAGGTAGCTGGAGATAGTTGATGCTTTGGTGAGTTATGTTCCGAACTTCTTTAGATTATGAAATGGAAAGCTGATTTTAAGGTAGGAAATGGTGGGGAAAAAAGGGAGCAAGGGAGAAAACAGAACTACAGCCCTGTTAATTTACATCAGTCTTGGGGATCACACTAGAATTTACTATATGGGATGAATAAATAGACACTTGGTTGATAATGATCTGATTGGCTATAGTCAGCTTGGAATATAGGAGTTTTTTTTTTGCAGACATTATTAGCAAAATTGATAAAGGAGACTCAATTAATGTAGTATACTCGGGTTTTTGCAATGCTTTTGATAAAGTTCCCCACAGCAGAATGGTTGAACAATCAATAATTGGCTGACGGTCAGAACTTAGAGACTAGGAGGGGAGGCGATGGCCTAGTGGTATTATCGCTGGACTGTTAATCCAGAGACCCAGATAATGTTCTGAGGTCCTGGGTTCAAATCCCGCCGCAGCAGGTGGTGGAATTTGAATTCAATAAATATCTGGAATTAAGGATCTAATGATGACCATGAATCCATTATCGATTGTCCATTGTCCATTGTCCATTGTTGGAAAAACCCACCTGGTTCACTAATGTCCTTTAGGGAAGGAAACTGCCATCTTTACCTGGTCTGGCCTACATGTGACTCCAGACCCACAGCAATGTGGTTGACTTTTAACTGCCCTCTGGGCAATTAGGGATGGGCAATAAATGCTACCTGGTCAGCGATGCCCTAATCTCATGAATGAATAAAGAAAAAAGGAATAAATGGGTCATTCTCACATTGACAGGCTGAAACTAGTGACATACAACAAGCTCAGTACTTGGAGCCCAGCTGTTCACTGTGTACATCAATCGAGTTGAGGACCAAAAGTAAAATTTCCAAATTTGTGAATGTTACAAAACTAAGCGGGGAATGTTTTTTAAGGAAGATTTTTAAAATTCATTCACGGATGTAGGTGTTGCTGGCTGGCCAGTATTTATTGCCTGAACCTAGTTGCCCTTGAGAAGGTGGTGGTGAGCTGCCTTCTTAAACCACTGCACTCCATGTGCCGTGGATTGACACACACTGTTGATAGGAGAGAATTCCAGGATTTTGAGCCACTGACAGTGAAAGAACAGTGATAAGTTGTGTTTTTGTTCGTGGCATTGTTGGAGATCAATCATCTCAGGTCCAGTACATCTCTGCAGGAGTTCTTCACAGACAAAACTAGACATTTTCATAATTACATAATTTAAAGCCATGAGCCTATTTACTAGCACACATCCCTCTAATTAGAGTCATCACAAGGTTTGAGGGCTTGGTGTTGGATTTCAGAAGACACAAACATCAGCTAGCAGCAAAACGGCTCCTGAACTCTCCTTAATATCTGTACATTCAGACAATGAAGGCCATCAGTTTAACTGCGACAAAGTAACCATAGTAGCCCAAGCCAAACATAGACACACAAGGGAATTCCTAGAGGCATGGTTCTCCTCCCATATTTCAGTCAACAAACATAGGATGGCATGGTGGCTCAGTGGTTAGCACTGCTGCCTCACAGCGCCAGGGACCCAGGTTCAATTCCACCCTCGGGCAACTGTCTGTGTGGGTTTCCTCCGGATGCTCTGGTTTACTCCCACAGTTCAAAGATGTGCAGGTTAGGTGAACTGGCCATGCTAAAATGCCCATCGGGATGTGTAGATTAGGGGGATGAGTCTGGGTGGGATGCTGTGAGGTTCAGTGTGGACATGTTGGGCCGAAGGGCCTGTTTCCACACCGAAGGGATTCTATCATATAGAATTGGACCCCATATACAAATCCATACAGATCAAAACCAGAAATGACTACTCACCATAACGACCGGACAGTATAAATTCCAAGCGGAGTAGATTAGCATTGCTTCATCGGACGCCCCACTGATGATGTTACCTAGCATGGTGATGAAACATCTGAACGAGAACAAGCCCAGCTCAGCAGGCAAATCAACAACCTCACCCACAACCCAAGCTACAGATCTTTGCCAAAACTTTACCAGCATTGGAAGCAGTTAAAACTATTTAAAACATGCAATCATCTTGCTTTCTGCAAGGTATGACTCTAACCGTAGAGATTTCCCCATTGATTCCAGTTTTGCTGGGGCTCCTAGGTGTCACACTCGGTCAAATACATAACTTTATATAACGTGCATTTAGAATGTGACATAATGTCTGGAACTCTGACAGTTCGGAGTGGCTCAGAAATTATTTGTAGATGGGATTGACTTACTCCTGGGTAATGATTTAACTGGAGCATAATTCATAGCTTCATCCACAATCAGAAATGGAACATTTGTAGGAACAGCTTCTGGGTATTTTTCCATTGTGTGCAGGGACCAGAGCGATAGGTAAACATTGCCCTTCACCAGAGGGGGGCAGACTGATACCCCAAGCAGATGTTAGGGGAACTGTAACTCTGCTTCAGAATGAGGATAAATCAAATGAAGAAAATCTTGTTTAATTGAGGCTGAGAAGCAGATCCAGCATTAAATACAATGATACAATCAACTCTCAGAGGCTACAGCTGCTGGAGTTCCCGTATGTTGTTCTGTTAAAATGGAGTTTTGCTGAAGAAGTGGAGACTTCCTTACAGACCTGTGGGTGAAGAATGACAGTCAAATAGTGATACCGTTGAGATATTGAAGGACAGAGTAGAGAGTGAACATCTGAAATCAAGCTTCAGTGATCCATTGAGTTCATCAAAAGGGTCGGTAAAGTGAACTATTTGATAGATACTCCTGATCACAGGATGAAGAATCAGTTAGGGCCACATTATTAGATTTATGATTGTTAGAAGAAATTGTGTAAATCCCCTATAAAGAGTGAACAAAATTGAATACATGTAATTTTCTTAAGCTTTCTTATTTATGTATTATTTCTGCTTTGTATGGCATTTCATTTTCCAAGAGTGAAGGCATGTTAGAAGTACATATATATTTATGGACAATGAGAAACCAGAATATGGAACAGTTTGGGCATTTCTGGATTGAGGATGGATTTATCATGTGGTTTCTTGGTGATGAAAATATCAGAGAGAAAGTGGTTTACTCACTGTTGACGAAAGTTTTATGGAAAGATTGTCCAACAAAGGTTTTAAGAAGAGACAAATTATGGGAGTCAAAATGGTTGGCAACGGGAAGGTGTTGTTTGTTGTGTACAGAGCGCAAATGCTCCACAAAACGGTCTCTGAGTCTGTGCTTGGTCTCTGAATGTATTGAAGAAACCTGGTAAAAAGTCTTTTTTGATGAAATAATAAATACTAAAGAAAAATAAATTGAGCATTGGGTGTGGTGATTAAATAAGATTCACATTGCTGATGTGGCCTGGTGGAGTATTGGGGCTTGATTACTGGTATACTCATGGAATCATGGAATCCCTACAGTGTGGATACCAGCCATTTGGTCCAACAAGTCCACACCAACCTCGGAAGAGCATCCCACCCAGACCCTTCCCCTTTTGCTCTCCTAATTATTTCAGTGCAAGAGGTCTGATAGTAGGGCAGATGAACTCAGGGCATGTTTGGGAACATGGGACTGGGATATCCTCCATTTTTGCAGCAGCAGCGGGAGTGGTGAGAGCAAGGACCAGGGGCTGCCGGGAAGGTAAGTTCTTCATTTTGGCAACAAAGCTGAGTGGGACCGGTCGAATTGCGCTCAGGGAAGGTGAGTGAACTGCTATATTTGGGCAGTGGCTAAACCTGAGACACGACACATGTAGTGTCTCCCACCCACCCTCCTCCTCTGAGCAAAAAAAAAGACTCTGGTGTGTTGATAAGGTAAGTGTTTTTCTTTTTCTTTTTTTTATCGTGTGATTTGATACAAATTTTTTTCATTTCATTTATCTAGTATTTGATATTATAGTAGGACTAAGTTAAGCTTAAGAGTAAAAATGGCAGGTGATCCCAGACCTGTGTTATGCTCCTCTTGCTCAATGTGGGAGCTCAGGGACACAACTGATGTCCCTGACTCCTACACGTGCAGGAAGTGTGTCCAGCTGCAGCTCTTGTTAGACCGCATGACGGCTCTGGAGCTGCGGATGGACTCACTTTGGAGCATCCGCGATGCTGAGGAAGTCGTGGATAGCACATTCAGCAAATTGGTCACACCACAGATTAGGATTGTTGAGGGAGAAACGGAATGGGTGACCAAAAGGCAGAAAAAAAGCAGGAAGGCAGTGCAGGTGTCCCCTGCGGTCATCTCCCTCTAAAACAGGTATACCGTTTTGGATAGTGTTGGGGGAGATGGCTCACCAGCGGAAGGCAGCAGTAGCCAGGTTCATGGCATCGTGGCTGGCTCTGCTGTACAGAAGGGCAGGAAAAACAGTGGAAGGGCTATAGTCACAAGGGATTCGATTGTAAGGGGAGTAGATAGGCGGTTCTGTGGTCGAAAACGAGACTCCCAAATGGTATGTTGCCTCCCAAGTGCACGGGTCAGGGATGTCTCAGATCGACTGCAGGACATTCTGAAGGGGGAAGGTGAACAGCCAGCTGTCGTGGTGCATATAGGCACCAATGATATAGGTAATAAATGGGATGAGGTCCTACAAGCAGAATTTGGGGAGTTAGGAGCCAAGTTAAAAAGTAGGACCTCAGAGGTAGTAATCTCAGGATTGCTACCAGTGCCACATGCTAGTCAGAGTAGAAGTGAAAGAATAGGCAGGATAAATGAATGGCTTGAGAGATGGTGCAGGAGGGAGGGGTTCAGATTTTTGGGACATTGGGACCGTTTCTAGTGGAGGTGGGACTATTACAAATCGGACGGTCTACACCTGGGCAGGACTGGAACCAATGTCCTCGGGGGTGCTTTTGCTAACGCTGTTGGGGAGGGTTTAAACTAATGTGGCAGGGGGATGGGAACCAAATGAGGAGGTTAGTGGACAGTAAGGAGGTAGTAACTAAAGCCTGTAAGGAGCTAGCTAATGAAGTCAGTGTGACTAAGGGGAAGAGTAGGCAGAAAGCAGATGATGAACGCAAAGGAACAGGTGGTCTGAGGTGTATTTGTTTTAATGCGAGAAGTGTCGTAGGAAAGGCAGATGACCTTAGGGCTTGGATTAGTACCTGGGAGTATGATGTTATTGCTATTACTGAGATTTGGTTGAGGGAAGAGCAAGATTGGCAACTAAATATCCCAGGATATAGATGCTTCAGGTGGGATAGAAAGGGAGGTAAAAGGGGTGGAGGAGTTGCATTACTGGTCAAAGAGGATATCACAGCTGTGCTGAAGGAGGGCTCCATGGAGGACTCGAGCAGTGAGGCAATATGGGCAGAGCTCAGAAATAGGAAGGGTGCGGTAACAATGTTGGGGCTGTACTACAGGCCTCCCAACAGCGAGCGTGAGATAAGAGGCACAAATATGTAGACAGATTATGGAAAGATATAGGAGCAACAGGGTGGTGGTGATGGGAGATTTTAATTTTCCCAACATTGACTGGGATTCACTTAGTGTTAGGGGTTTAGATGGAGCAGAATTTGTAAGGAGCATCCAGGAGGGTTTCATGGAGCAGTATGTAAATAGTCCAACTCGGGAAGGGGCCATACTGGACCTGGTGTTGGGGAATGAGCCCAGCCAGGTGGTTGAACTTTCAGTAGGGGATTACTTTGGGAATAGTGATCACAATTCCGTAAGTTTTAGAATACTGATGGACAAAGACGAGAGTGGTCCTAAAGGAAGAGTGCTGAATTGAGGGAAGGCCAAGATTTGGCAGGAGCTGGGGAATGTGGATTGGGAACAGCTGTTTGAGGATAAATCCACATTTGATATATGGGAGGCTTTTAAAGAGAGGTTGATTAGAGTGCAGGACAGTCCCTGTGAAAATGAGGGATGGAAAGGGCAAGATTAGGGAACCATGGATGACAGGTGAAATTATGAGACTAGTAAAGAGGAAAAAGGAAGCATACATAAGGTCTAGGCGACTGAAAACCGACGAAGCTTTGGAAGAATATCGGGGAAGTAGGAACAATCTGAAACGAGGAGTGACGAGGGCTAAAAGGGGTCATGAAATATCTTTAGCAAACAGGGTTAAGGAAAATCCCAAAGCCTTTTATTCATACATAAGGAGCAAGAGGGTAACTAGAGAAAGGGTTGGCCCACTCAAGGACAAAGGAGGGGAGTTATGCGAGGAGTCAGAGAAAATGAGTGAGATTCTTAATGAGTACTTTGCGTCGGTATTCACTGAGGAGAGGGACATGACCGATGTTGACGTTAGGGATAGATGTTTGATTACTCTAGGTCAAGTCAGCATAAGGAGTGGGAAAGTGTTGGGTATTCTAAAAGGCATTAGGGTGGACAAATCCCCAGGTCCGGATGGGATCTATCCCAGGTTTCTGAGGGAAGCGAGAGAGGAAATAGCTGGGGCCTTAACAGATATCTTTGCAGCATCCTTGAGCACGGGTGTGGTCCTGGAGGAGTGGAGAATTGCCAATGTTGTCCCCTTGTTTGAGAAGGGTAGCAAGGATAATCCAAGTAATTATAGACCGGTGAGCCTGACGTCAGTGGTGGGGAAGCTGCTGGAGAAGATACTGAGAGATAGGATCTATTTACATTTGGAAGAAAATGGGCTTATTGGTGATAGGCAGCATGGTTTTGTGCAGGGAAGGTCATGTCTTACCAACTTGATAGAATTCTTCGAGGAAGTGACAAAGTTGATAGATGAGGGAGGGGCTGTAGATATCATATACATGGATTTCAGTAAGGCGTTTGATAAGGTTCCCCATGGTAGGCTGATGGAGAAAGTGAAGTCGCATGGGGTCCAGGGTGTACTAGCTAGATGGATAGAGAACTGGCTGGGAAACAGGAGACAGAGGTAGGAGGAGACAGGTACTAAAAGAGGTGATGGGGGAAATAGCAAATGCACTCGTAATTATTTAGCAAAATTCACTGGACTCTGGGGTGGTTCCCGCAGATTGGAAAACAGCCAACGTGACACCACTGTTTAAAAAAGGAAGTAGACAAAAAGCAGGTCAGTTAGCTTAACTTCAGTAGTGGGGAAAATGCTTGAATCTATCATTAAGGAAGAAATAGCAAGATATCTGGATATAAATTGTCCCATTTGGAACACCCAGCATGGGTTCATGAAGGGTAGGTCATGTTTAACTAATTTGGTGGAATTCTTTGAGGACATTACTTGCATGGTGGACAATGGGGAACCTGTGGATGTGGTGTATCTGGATTTCCAGAAGGCGTTTGACAAGGTGCCACACCAAAGGCTGCTACATGAGATAAAGTTGTATGGTATTACAGGTAATGTATTGGCGTGGATAGAGAATTGGTTGACCAGTAGAAAGCAAAGAGTAGGGGTAAATGGGTGTTTTTCTGGTTGGCGGTCAGTGGCTAGTGGAGTGCCTCAGGGATCAGTGTTGGGACCTCAGTTGTTTACAATTTACATAGATGATTTGGAGTTGGGGACTAAGTGTGGTGTGTCAAAATTTGCAAATGACACTAAGGTGAGTGGTAGAGCAAAGTGTGCAGAAGACACAGAAAGTCTGCAGAGGGATATAGATAGTCTAAGTGAGTGGGCAAAGGTCTGACAGATGGAGTACAATGTTGATAAGTGTGAGGTCATCCATTTTGGTAGGAATAACAGCAAAATGGACTATGCTTTAAATGGTAAAAAATTGCAGCACACTGCTGTGCAGAGGGACTTGGGTGTCCTTGTGCACGAATCGCTGAAGGTGGGATTGCAGGTGCAGCAGGTAATTAAAAAGGCAAATGGAATTTTGTCTGCCATCGCTAGACGGATGGAGTTTAAAAACAGGGAGGCTATGCTGCAGTTGTATAGGGTCCTGGTGAGGCCACACCTGGAGTACTGTGTGCAGTTTTGGTCTCCTTACATGAGAAGAGATATACTAGCACTGGAGGGGGTGCAGAGGAGATTCACTCGGTTGACTCCAGAGTTGAGAGGGTTGGATTATGAGGAGAGACTGAGTAAACTGGGATTATACTCATTGGAATTCAGAAGAATGAGGGGAGATCTTATGGAAACATATAAGATTATGAAGGGAATAGATAAGGTGGAGGCAGGGAGGTTGTTTCCTCTAGCAGGTGAAACTAGGACTAGAGGGCATCACCTCAAAATAAAGGGAAGCAGATGTAGGACTGAGGTCAGGAGGAACTTCTTCACCCAAAGGGTTGTGAACCTGTGGAATTCCCTGCCCAGTGAAGTGGTTGAAGCTACCTCGCTGAATGTTTTTAAGGCAAGGCTAGATAAATTTTTGAACAGTAAAGGAATTAAGGGTTATGGTGAGTGGGCGGATAAGTGGAGCTGAGTCTCAAAAAGATCAGCCATGATCTTATTAAATGGCGGGGCAGGCTCAAGGGGCCAGATGGTCTACTCCTGCTCCTAGTTCTTACGTTCTTATGCTCTAGAGAGTTGGAGTGGAAGGGAATTTCTCAAAATGGAGAACTGTGACCAGTGGTGTTCCACAGGGATCCGTGTTGGGACCACTGTTGTTTGTGATATACATAAATGATCTGGAGGAAGGTATAGATAGTCTGATTAGCAAGTTTGCAGATGACAATAAGATTGGTGGAGTAGCAGATAGTGAAGGGGACTGTTGGAGAATGCAGCAGAATATAGATAGATTGGAGAGTTGGGCGGAGAAATGGCAGATGGAGTTCAATCGAGGCAAATGCGAGGTGATGCATTTTGGAAGATCCAATTCAAGAACGAACTGTACAGTAAATGGAAAAGCCCTGGGGAAAATTGATGCACAGAGAGATCTGGGTGTTCAGGTCCATTGTACCCTGAAGGTGGCAATGCAGGGCGATAGAGTGGTCAAGAAGGCATACGGCATGCTTTCATTCATCGGACGGGGTATTGAGTACAAGAGTTGGCAGGTCACGTTACAGTTGTGTAGGACTTTGGTTAGACCACATTTGGAATACTGCGTACAGTTCTGGTCGCCACATTACCAAAAGGATGTGGATACTTTGGAGAGGGTGCAGAGGAGGTTCACCAGGATGTTGCCTGGTGTGGAGGGCGCTAGCTATGAAGAGAGGTTGAGTAGATTAGGATTATTTACATTAGAAAGACAGAGGTTGAGGGGGGACCTGATTGAGGTCTACAAAAGCATGAGAGGTATAGACAGGGTGGATAGCAAGAAGCTTTTTCCCAGAGTGGGGGACTCAATTACTAGGGGTCACGATTTCAAGGTGAGAGGGGAAAAGTTTAAGGGAGATATGC